CTGTAAAGAGCAGAAACTCTGAGAAGTTTGAAACTGGTAACTGTATTAATGATCTGATCTCCAAAGAACAAAAATCAAACTCGCATTAATGTCTCAAACTGTCGTCTTTTTCCAACATCTATCTAAATTTACAGGGCTTTGCTGAAACTATCAGAGTCCTTTTACTAATACTTGTCTGAAGACTTGCCCATGTAACATGGGAAAACAACAAAACGTGCTGTTAGTCTGTGATACTCTCACATGACATCTTGCTTGGGGGTATTTTGTCATAATTCAAAATGCTTGAGAAAGATGTGGCATTTTTATCTGGTTGGTTTTGTCTCTTTTTTTCCTGTAGGAGGAGGAAGGTGACCGATAAGTTGCCTCAGGAATTACTTCTTCAATTGTCTGCCCAAGATATCTTGTGAATGATTGTTTAGGAGTAGAAATGCTGTGCTGCTTTTCAAGGAAAACAAAATTATGATTTTTTTTTTGTGTGTGTGAAACTTGTCCATATAAAGACATGTAGCACTGAAATAGCTAAATTGCTCTTAATTTATACCTTCTGTGGCTTTATTGCAGTTCTAATTGTACAGAATGTAAAATGCATGCCTGTCTGAGTGCCTTGGTCCTGATGTTTGTTCTGCACTTTCCATTTGTGTGTCATTATGACGTTTCACCAGCCCCTATGCTAGGGCATGGCGAAAGCCTCCTTGTGCTCTAAAGTCCATGGGAGATCATGGATGGGAGGACTGTATTTATTCCCATAGGACTGCCACAGGTAAAGGCAATCAGGGCTGAGAACCCACCTCCATGTCCTTAGCTCTGAGAAATAGGTCCTCAGGCTGACAAACACAGGCTTATTTGGTCTTATTGACCCCATTAATTTTCAGAGATAACACTCTCTTCTTTCCCCACTTTCCTTGCTGGAAATGTTCACTCCCGGACTTTGTGGGCTTTCCACCTCCCAAGTGGCAGAGAGGTAAAGCCCCTGAATGCAGGAGATGTTGAGTGAAACTGGAGCAACGCTGACAACCAGCACCTTTCTGCCTGCTCCTGACAATGTGGTACGATAATCCTGAGCAGAAAAGAATTACAGGGAGCAGATGTGTATAATGGGTCTCGTGTGCATTTGCAAATTATTGATCTGCTGGATCTGCTGGAACATCATTTGTTCATCGTGCTGCTTTCACTGACCTGAGAACACAAACACATTGTGGTGCTGCACAGACCTTTGTGGGGAGAGGCCGTGCAGTATGGTTCATGTGGGGACCACACTGTGAACTTGGACGCTGGTGCGTGTGCGCCTTTGCTGGAGAATTGGGAAGTACAGAACATGTGAATGATTGTGGTGTTTAGTGGTTTATAGCGTGTGTAGATTAGACTGGTATCTCTCTGTTGTTTGTAGATTAAGTGATTATGTTAGAAGGAAGTGTTTAATGTTGCGTGTTTGTCAAGTCTCAGCGTGGTGATGGCTTAAGCTTTTTTGTGGACAGGCGAAGGTGAGTAACTCAGTGTTCTTCATTGTTCTTTTTAAAAGCAGTATAAAACATCCATTGCATCTTCTGATTCTTTCAGAAAATATTTGATGGACTGTTATTTAACAGTTCGTTACTAGCATAATTTTGCTTATAGTAAGAATTCTCGGCTTGCTTTCTAAGGAAACAGTGCATGCGGCTGACTGACAGTGCAGTTGTGGTTCCCCTTATTGTCTCTCTTTCTTCCTGCTTGAATAATTTCTGAACTCATTGGTCAATGTCAGTCGTATTTGTTAGAGTTCAAATAAAACTGCTGAGCTAATTTCCTACAAATACGAATGTCAGTAGTTCATTAGAGATTACTGCTTTCCTGAAGGGAATGGCACAGAATTTACCTGTTCTGTTTTTCTGTCACCTTTCTGGTCAGTTGGTTCCTACATAATTTTTGTTTTGTCCCATTATGCGTTCATTCTTATTGGGAGTGTTGGAAGGAACAAGGAAGGCGGAGGAGTTAATGCTGTGGTACCAGTAGAGATTAGGATAGGAGGAATGCAGATCTAGAACAACTTGTTACTCTTTCAATATAATGTTGCAAATTGAAATTACAGTGCTTGTATTTCCCTTACAATAATTTACAAATACAAGATAAATTTATAATGTAATGACTATACCAGATGCTTTTTGGATAAATAATACCTGGTCTCCATTTCAGAGATCTTCAACCCAAAAAATAGCATCATAGAACAGCCCAGTCAGAATGGACCTTGAGAGATCATCTCATCCAACCTTTCGCAGGAGAGGGAGCCTAGATGAGATTATCTAGCACCCTGTCCAATCTCATGTGGAAAACCTGCAGAGATGGGGACTCTACCACTTCCTTGGGGAGGTTGTTCCAGTGATTGATTGTTCCCACTGTAAAAAATTTTTTATCTTGAGAAGAAACCTCTCCCAGTGCAACTTGCACCCGTTGCCCCTTGTCTTCTCCGTGTGGCTCCTTGTAAAGAGAGTCTCTGTCTTCCTTGTAGCTGCTCTTTAAGTATTGAACTACTGTGGTGAGGTCCCCTCTAAGCCCTCTCTTCACAAGGGGGAAAAGACCTAACTCCTTCAGTTTTTCCTCAAAGGGCAGGTTCCCCAGCTCTTTGATAGTTAAACAAAACACTACAAAGCCAGTACTGGAATGCTGAATGAATGAAATTCCTGATCTCTTCTAACCTTCACTTTCATATATAACAAACCCTGAAGTGTTGGAATTGGCTGTCCACAGTTGCAAGGTTTAACTCCTGCAGAATTAGGACCCTCGGTGTTACCTTGGGCATGTAAAATGAAGCCTCTGGTAATGGAAGTTGGGTGTTACGTTGACAATCAACAGCAAACTTAAATTACTCTCTGTTGGTCTTTCTTTCCCTCCATTCCTTCCTATTCTATGTCTGTCTGCAATCTATTATATTTTTGGTTTTCAGTCTCTCAAGTTTAAACATAGCTTTCTGCTCCTTTTCTCCATTATACCCATCACTATTTAATCTGCCTACTGCTAGTTCCTTTATTATTTTTTTTTTTCCTTCGAGAAGCTCTTTAGAATGGTTTTATGCTTTCTTTGGCATCCAGCACAGGACTAATCTTGAGACTTCCCACTCCCTCCTCTCCTTCTGATGTGTTCAAAGCAAAGGAGAAATAAACTACCAATTCCTTTGGAGTACGAGTAATCTGTGGAGGAGTATCTTCCCTTAAGTGGCTAAACACTTTCAATCCTTTTATACACTTTTCTGTCCCAGTATTTCCAATATTTACTTTTAGCTTGCAAAAAAACAGAAAGCCCCAAGCCAACAAAAGGAAACAAACACCACCACCACCCCCTCCCCAACCCACCCTCTGGTTCTCCTTTGTAAGTGTCTTGTCCTCTGGTTGTTGCCCCAAGTGCTTTTCCTGTCCTTCTGTGTACTCTGGGAAATTGAAGTAGGAAGAGAGGCTGTGCTATTATCTTTCTAACACTCGAGTGGAAAAACTGCCTGTGCTGGAAGATTCAGGAGTACAGATGTGGAAGCTCAGAGAGCTTCTCCCTGCCCCACTCCAGAGTTTCCTTGCAGTTCTAAAAAAAAGAAGCATAATAGAAGTATTGCGTGCAACAGAGTACAGTAAGAAAACATAAGCAAAGATTCAAGTGCTGATCTTCTAGCACTTGAGAAATGCTTTTTGAAAGAGCCATGCTACTAAGAAGGCTTATTCTGAAAACACTGTGTCAATATGCACATGATTTTAAACTTTTGAGACTATGCTTGCTGTGCATGAAATTGGTATCGGCTGTGTTACCTGGCATTTGGAGGAAGGTTTCTGAGTCATATACCATGCTTGGTTGCTCTGCCAAATTTTGAGGAAAAAAAATCAGTATTTTTTGCATGGCTCTCTAAACTACAACTGATGGGGAGAGTGGCTTACAAAAGTGCTGTGGGATTTTCTGCAGTGACATCTGTGGAGTGTATATATAGCAGGTTCCCAAGTTGGAAGCCAGAAGAGTATGTGGGAAGTGTGAAAGGGGGATGGGGAGGGGAGCAAACAAGAAATTCAGACAAAGGGAAATTGTTGATGCAAGTTAATGCCTCTTCTTAGTGATATTGATAAATTTCTGCTGCTGTTCAAGCAGTATAAATTATTCTCCTTCTGATTCTGTTTCCTTTTGCTTTTCTCCTGTTGCCTGGAAAACTTGAGTGGAATCTAGTAGGACAAGAGGCTGCTTTCTCATTGTTTTGTGGCTCTGTTGCTAGCTATTGTCCCCTTGGCTCAGGCCCTTCATGGCAGTCTTTGTGTGGAGTAAGAAAAATGTTTTGCCTTTTTTCTTTAAAGATCAAGTTTCTAGACTGTGTAGATCGCTTTGATTTAAAAAGCAAGCAGTGCTAACTTACGAGTATCGCCTATCAGCGAATGTATTTTTCCTTGCAATGTCACCTTTAGCACTTTTTTAGTTTGGATGTGCTTATTAAATTTGTGGGCCAGTTTGAGGGTAAAGCAGTCTTGAAATCTAGTTTCATTTTTGATGTACTTTGTTTAAAACAAAGGAACTCTAAGCAGGACAGTGGATTTCATGAATTTTTCTGTCAGGAATAAAAACCAGATCGCCGACTATGTTTTCAACAGTTGAAAATGGAGCCAGTTTTGCTCTTAAGTAGGAGCAGAGCTCTAACAACCTGGTAAAGAAATGCAGCCTTGAGCAGTGTCACTGAGATCTTGCCTGTTGTGGCTGACTTAACTGTTCTTTGCTACATCACTGATTAGTTATAAATGAAGATTGGTTTTGAGGACGCTCTTGAAACAGAACTGAAATGTAGCTGTTTGCTGGTATGAAAATGCACTCATGGATGTGTAGGGTAGTGCCAAAAATGAGACAGTTGTCTTGTAACAGTTCTTGCAGGTAGTATTTCTGTGATCCTAATTTTTTTGTTGCCCTTATTTTTGCTGCACTAATTGATTATGTGGTGGTACAGAAAAATACATTGAAAATGGATGGTACTGTAACTGTTCCATTATCTGTTGTTTGTTCTTTTCTTTTTCAGGCATCTATTAAGAAGCTAAAAGCGACAGAACCATGGCTCAGTTTCCAACACCTTTTGGGGGTAAGTTGTTTACAGCATATTCTGAACTTATTCTTACATGCAAGAATTCTGCATAAATGTGTTGCTTTCTGAATTTGTTCTGTGTGGATAGTGTTTATGGGTAGTGTATCTTTCTGAGATGATAGCTTATCTGATTTGTGATGTTTTTGCGGATCCATTAGAGAACACACACACAATTTTGCAGACATATCTCAGTGAAACAGAAGAGCTGCGCCGTATCCCTTTTTGTGCATTGATCCATTACAGTCCTACAGTTTGTAACTGTAGGGCAGACCCAGGTCACTCAGCCACTGGCAGTAGGGCATGGCCTCATTCTGCAGCTACCCAGTTTTATTTACCTGTCTTCAGCTTCCATACTCAGTCCTGCCTGCTTTTTTCATATTTTTTCCAGAGGAAATTCTAAAATGCTGTTTAAATGTTATAAATTCTCACTTTATAAGCACTAGTTGTGGCTCAGAAGTGGATATGCTTTTTCTTTGAGGATTCCTCGACATTTTCATTGCTAGAAAGTACAGCAGATACCTTTGGATACTGTCACTCCAGATTTCTTTTCCTTATTGTCCCATAGCCCATGTTTAAATTAGGACAAAGGTCCAGTGTTTTTTTTTTTCTTAGCTCTCCATTTATAACAGGGAAAGGTGTAGCAACTTCAGTCTTTTTGAAATATCCAGGGAGGGCCCTGGTAGTGCAATAGAGACATTACTTTTTGCTATTCATATTAAATGCATTTTGGAGCCCATCTTTGCAATCGATCTGAAGAAAGATTACAAAGCTAAATTTCAATGCTGAGAACCGGTAACCAGCTTGGTTCCACTTAGATGTTGCATCTGTTAAGGGCTTTTCTCTGGAGATGCAGATTTGTGTGTATATGTATGCTTGCCTATACATATATATACATAAATATGCATACACACAAAAAAAGTGGGTGCATGTATATGTATATAAATATATATGAAAGTGTAGTTACTGGGATTGGATATAGCTAGGAACTAGATTTGTATTTAGTGTTAGTGTGTCAGTGGGAGGCTTCAGGAAGAATGCATGTTTTTCAGAATGTGTTGTTAAAGAAACCCAGTTCTTGTTAAACACAACTGGTTGGATGCAAACTCTGCCAGTCTGGGAAAGTCCGTGAAGCACAACAGAAGCAGCATCTCTTCGCATAGGGTAGCTAGAAGAAACATGTAACTGGAAGATGTCGTTCATTGCCTCAGTTATCTTCAAGTCCAGCCTCTGGAATTAAATCTTGTTTAGTGCCAGAGTTTCTCAGTTTGGGTGTGAAACTGACTGCCAAAAGCTTTGATCAAATAAGCTCACTGGACAGTTTCATGTAGGATATCTTTTCAGGTCATACAATAAGTTGTGAATAACTTAATTTCACCATAATTTTCAAAATCTAGGAGAAATCACGATGTGAATGAAACCTGCTTGTTCAAACTCAAGTATTTCCTTTTGTTTAGTTAGGGCTATTCTTTGCACCCATATTTGAACATGTACATACATTCTTAATGGAAAAATTGGCTTTAAAGCATTCTCCTCTGCTATCTTCAGGGAGTTCTCATTGCATTACAGATGGATAGCAGCTTTCTTTTTTCAACTTTATATATAACCATTTGATCTTGCATATGTTGCCCAGGATCCTGTTAACTCTGGTACGTGGCTTTAGGAAGGATGGAATCCACTGTTTTTTTTTCTCAAACAATTTTGCTCATTTGACTACTCTACGATGAGGAAGTTGAAATGAGCATGCGGCTAAGGTTGTTTCTGGAGTGTCTTTAATTTGTAATGTGGCGTGAGAGAAGTTTGCTATGATATTCACACTTAAACCAAGTCTACCTAGTAGCACCATACCTCCTCTCAGAAGAATGACAGCAAAAATCTATGATTGTTGTAAAAGGCAACAAATGGTGTAAATAAAACTCCAATCTTTATGGGGAAATTTATCATCCTTTCAAGAATCCTTTCTGTCACCTGTAGTCGCCAAACAAGCTGCACAATAGATTATTTGTGCAGTCTCCAGCCTGGGAGAGCCCTCACTCCGAATGTGCAGTATCTGGTATCCCTCTGCTTGTGAATACCAATAATGAGTTGGGTTTTTTTTGTTAATATCACTTCCTCTTTTAAAGAATCAAGTCAGCTTGGGAAATGGGTATGGAAATAGCACAGCACCCACTATTTAGATTTGAGGTGACTCTTTAACATTCCAGAACACTGCTCATTTTAAGGATGACTAAAGAAAAATGGGCACAGTAGGATTTTTATAATTTTGGGGAAGAAGGTGGTTTGCTTGACCTTCTGTCAAATTGTGGAGGAGAAGAAAATGCCCATTTCATATGTGAGAGCCAGCCCACTGCTTTGCTTTTGCAGATGAGGTGATTGCTAAGCTATATAAAAGAAAAGATGGTTAGAAGGCTTGCTGCTCCATGTAAGAATAGCTTGCGTATGAGTCAATTTTGTTGTTTGATGACTGCTTCCTTTGTATCCAAACATGTTGAAAAGCCCCACAGTCTCTGGTTTAGGATCCAGGATCTGAAGCCATGACTGATGTCTTGGTGTTGGGTAAGATCCTGCGTCATGCCCTCCCATTATTGTTTCCTCAGATAACAAAAGATGGAAACAAAGCAATGCCCCAGATGCCATTTGTTTTTCTCTGACAGAATAGACTGCTAAGTTTGCTTGGTTTAACATTGGCTCTTTTGATGTTCATATCCAACAAAGGAGATCTGCTGTTCCAATACCAACCCAACCTCCATCTGGAAGAGTAAATATTGACAATCATTTATTCTAGTTACAGGGACACCAGAGAAGAAGTCAACAAATTTTGTTTTAAAATACTTAATAGAATACACTTTTAGTTACCTCATGCCATGAGTAAACACCAGCCTTGGAGGCATCTGAAAGATGAGGTGCTTAGAGACAAGGTTTAGTAGTGGACAGGTTATGGTTGGACTCGATCTTAAAGGTCTTTTCCAACTAAATGATTCTATGATAAGAAGAACTGGATGGATTTTTGTTGTTGTGTTTTTTGGGGTTTGGTGATTTTTTTTTTGTTGGATTGGGGTTTCTTTTGGTATTGAAGTCATGCATACCTCAAATTGAGAGAAAGCAAGCTATCAAATCATTGCAGATTTCATGTTGTGTTTATTGTTTTGTTTTTTTCCTCTGCGCAACTTATTCAAGAAATTCTTCCTCTTTGTGTAAGCTACCACATCCAGCCTTAGGATCTTAGGCTGGAGTAGTCATGTTCCCAATACAGGGAGATGTTTGTCTGCTTCTAGTTGGCATAGGCTGGTTGATCTACTCTGCATATTGGTCATAAAGTCGTAACACCATTCCTTTCCTCCTGTCAGAAGTTCATGAGAAGATGGGAGAGATAATTGCTTACATGAGCAATTACAAGCACACACATACAAAGATGTGTTTTGGGATGTTCATATCCAAAGAAGAGCCCTGTTTCATCCCCAAAGGGAGCACAGCTATGAAGTGTGTTTATAGCACCTCTGTGAGCTTAAGCACTAGAATCCTGGGATTTTTAGACTAATCTTATAACGTCCTTTCTTTGAATTAGGTATTATTAGCTTGCCTGCTTCTAAAAATACATAGGTTACCTGAAACGGAGATGATTTTTTTTTTTACCAAGAATGTAGCTTTTCTTTCATTTATGAAATTTACCGTTTAAAGGAATGTTTTTCTTCCCCTTGTCCATTTCCTTTTCTCCTCAAAGTACATTTTGCCAAATGAAAGCAGATTTTAAAAAGAAGAAAGTCAGAAGGCAGGAAATTCTCATGTTCTCCATAACTGCTGAGTCAGATTCTGCCTCAGCCTGCAAGCAGTTTGAAGTACTTGCTGTAAATATTTGTGGACCTTATTACCCGAAATTTAATCTCTGAGAATTTAGTGCTGAGACAGAGTGAATGCTGGATCTCCTTTGTATTTTTCTGCAAGTCTACATTTTATCTTTTAATATCAATTCAGTAAAACAGCGATTCCCAGTAACTTAGAGGCCTTCATATCATTACATTCCTATACAGTAGGAGTTAAAACAAGGTGTACCAGTGCAATGTACTTCTACAGCTGTTGAAATCATGTTTTTTACTCACTAGAAATTGTTGAGACAAACCTGAAACACAATGTTAGAGAGTTCATTGGAGGTCTCAAGTGGAAGTTGAGATGTGTTTGCTCTGAGTACAAATAATCTGAAGGATCAAAGTGAAATTTCTGCAAGAGGAGAGAGAGGAAAGGGACTGCTACGAAAATGGAGGTAGAACTGGAGAAGGCGTTGTAGATGCATGGCACTGTAGAAGGGTAGTAAATTGCAACATAAACTAAATGTTTACCTCCAATTTATGAGTGTGGTGTGAAGAATCTGGTCTCTGTAACATTCAGATTTCTCATTCTCTGAATGATGAGCACGCTTTCCTGTACGACTGTTGCCCATGAAAGATGTTTACTGTCTGGTTGAGTCGCACTTTTCAAAGACAAATAAGGAGAGTTCTTCTTATAATAGCACAAGCCTACATAGTACACAACTGGTTATTTCAGGTACCTTTACAGTTAAAAGAACTTGCATTTTGGCTGTATGTGCCCTGAGAGGCAAATGATCTCCCACCCCCTAAATATCTAGTGTTATGAACTTCCTGCGTTATATATTCTGCTATGCTGATACTGGTTTTTAGTAGCCCATTTGTAAGTTTGATTGCACTTTGAGTAGCCTGATTGTAACTTTAATTTTCGTGTGAGTTAGAGAAGTGAATCAGTGCTCAGCAGTCATCTTAATTTGGTAGCACTTAGTTATGGTAAGTTCTTAAGTCCTAACTGGCTGTTAAAGGATTCATGGAGCTTTCAACTACAGACTTTGGATGAACGGCTTCTGTGTGTATCTTGTTTTCAGAGGTCCAGTGTGACCTGGACCAGTGTGATATGATATAATTAGTCTCAGAAATAAAAATACTGTAGTCTTCAGATAATGTTTCTTAATTTTATTTCTCTGTCTCTTTTGAACTAGGCAACCTGGATATCTGGGCTATTACTGTGGAGGAGAGAGCTAAACATGATCAACAGTTCCATAGCCTGAAACCAATATCTGGATTTATCACTGGTAATGAGATAGTTTTCACTTCTAATTTAATTTAACGTAATCTTAACTAACAGGCCTAAATATGTGCAGAGTTGCCTGGGAGACATTTGGGCATAAGAATTTAAAAATTGAACAGATCTTACTCATTTTATATCCCATTTTTCATATTCATGGCCACATCAGCCCTATATTTTCTGTTCTTTTTCTGATATTTACCAGCTATATACCAGGTTTATACCACTTGATTTTTCTGTAAGTAGGAATAAAATTATTTATAACTGTGACTCTATAAAGCAGTTCTGTGTAGAGGCAGCTGATACTTACAAACTGTAGAGTTAGAATTCAGGTGATGCTTTTAATATGCACAGTGACTTGACTCACTGGGCTGAGTCTGACTGAAATGGAGTTAATTTTCTTCATAAGATCCTGTATGGTGCTGTGTTTTCAGTTTGTCACTAAAGCACTGTTGATAACACATCAGCATTTTGTCTGTGGCTGAACAGTGCTTGCAAAGCCTTAAGACTTCCACTATTTCTCACTCTTTACTCCCTCAGCCAGTAGCAAGAGTCTGTTTAAATAAAGATGTATCAATTTAACTGGAATCTGTTTGAGAAACTGATTGTTTAAACTAGTGATCAGTGTGGTTGACCTCTTTAAAAAATCTGAATGGCAAAATTGATTTAAGTTGTGGGAAGGAAGACTGCAAGTAAATGAATTGCACTGATCCTACTAAATTTTCATAGAACACCACTAATTTGCTTTGGTGTTAAAGGCAATAGGATGCCTACTGTGTGTTAGTTTTTGTTGCGTTGAATTTTCTTTAGTGCTGTCTAAACTCTGATGCTCAACTGAAGTGAAGGATATAGAAGTGTTTTACCTTTCTTACTGTCTGATCCATTAAGAGGATTTCCAGAGTGTGAAATCAGCATTGGATTTTCAGCAGAGTCTCATCACAGCTGTACATGCCTCCAAGTATACAATTTGGTTGTTTTTGTTGCATGGCAGATGTGGTACAAAATACTACTGTTTTTTATTGACCACCTTTAATATTTAGTTTTATTTCTAGTCTGTTTACATTGTCTGTTTAACATTGCTGTACAGTCCGCAACGTTTTCAAGTGCCTAATCCTTTTGTAATTGTTTTGCTATCCTTACTTCTAATTGACAGTTGGAAAATGGCTTTGAATTATACCATTGCTTTCTTTAATTTGCTTATCAGGTTCATATTAGGGTAAAGAGCACTTTATTTAGTTTGCGGTAGCTGACTGGCATTGTACTTCCAAAAAAAAATTTAAGAGTTTAGATTGATGCCAGCTTTCTCTGGAAGAAAAAAAATTCTTGTTCTCACAAGGCATGTGATCCCTGCAAAGAGAGCCATTGAAACAGACTGGAGACTGTGAACCATCAGCTTCCCATTGCCCTAAATGTTTATGGTCACTTGCCTTCACGTGGTGCTGAGTGTTGCAGACTTTAACAGTGTGTGCTTGTTGGAAATACCTGGTAGGTTTGCAAGTGACGAAATAAGTTTAAATCTCATACTCTGTTATGTATGGGTATCATTAAGTATTTATGATTTTACTGTTGCTTCTGGTTTAGATATTTTTTACTTATGATTTCCTCTTACAAGTATTTTTAGCATTTTCTGAAATGATGTCCTATTTATTTTATAGGTGATCAAGCTAGAAACTTTTTTTTTCAATCTGGGTTACCTCAACCGGTATTAGCACAGATATGGTGAGTATATGGGAGGGGTGGGAGAATTGCAGTTAGATTGCAGAGTGAAGTTTACTGATACAGACTTGGACAGTATCTGTGTTTCACAGCGTGGTTCGCAGGGTGGGGTTTAAAATCGCCGACTCTAGTTCAGTGTGCTTTCTGAAGGTCTGCAAGGCAAATATGCTTTGTAGTATGTTTTAGCTGAGTTTTGAAGCTACTAGTTCTGTTATCGGAAGTAGCCATCCTTCTACAAATGGCATTTTTTAAGTTGGTGCTTTGCAGTCTTCATTTCAAACTACTAAATGCTGTCAACTTTATTAAAACTATGCTAATACAATCGCTAAGTGCAGTAATTAGTATTAAAAATCTTCTAATGGGAGAGCCTAGGCAAGACTTGCAAAATTTGTTACAAAAATTAAGACTGGCATAGACTACTTCCGTTGTAGTTGGAGATACAGCTTGAAATCTTGAAATTTTTACTATTCTGTGGTATATTTTAGACAGAGAAATGTCTTCATTGCTGTATATAAAAACATGTCACAAACATTTCTACAGGCTACCGGTTTCTTCATGCAGGATTGCAATTGTGTCTGCTCTAAATTATATGACCCTGCCAGATATGGGCATGCTAACTTGCATAGTTCATTCATAATTTATATCAATTATATTACTACTAAAATTTTGTTTGGTGCTAGACAGAGTGAAATAGCATTGGTTTTCATTCTAGATTGGGAAAAGCAGGAGAAGGACGAATAACTTTCAACAAATCAGTTAACTTTTCCTTGGTTGTTAACTGTTTGAAAGAGAGAGTAGTTTATTGCAGTTATAAAAGCTTTTTGTTGTGGTAAGGACTTCTAAAGGCAAAATCTTGCTCTGACTGGAGAAAGAAAATAATTATTTTCTTCCAAGAAAAACAATAGCTTTGGAAATATGCATGCATAAAAGAGGAGCTGGATTTACTTGGCTTTTAAATAAACAGCTTACTTCCTTTTCAAATTATCTTCATCTTACAAATACCAAATTTGGTCTGGTTATCTTATTTGCTGAAGCTTCAGTGAAAGTTGAAATGTCCCTTTAGAACTTCTCTTGCCTCTAAATTGAACAAGAGAAGAAGTTTTGTCTTAAACAAGACATCCTTTCTCCAAAGATGCTCCTTAGGCATTAGCTTTAAGTAAGTGTTAACAAAACTAAACAGTTGTAAATAGTCGAGTAAAAATCTCTTCCTTTCTGATACATTCAGTTTTTCAGCCTCTTGAGAGGGAGAGAATGATTCTACTGGTTCTGTAGTTGTCATAGAGACAAGACCTGAACTTGCACATTTTTTTAAACAAAGGTGAACTAAAACTTACTCATGCTACTTTATAATCACAAAAAAGCATGCAGACATCCATTTCTCACTGTCTCTCCTTTTTCTCAGTCATCTCTGAATTGAGAAGTAAATATTGAAGTAAAAATCTAGATCACTCATATATATTCCCAGTTGGAATTGCAATAATCAAGTAGGAGAAGAGTCACATAGTCGTAGTAAGACCCCTTAAAAAGAAAGGAAAAGAAATTTTTAAAGAGGAAGGAAAACACCCTTCTTTTCCCACAACTCGAAGGATTTAGCTCTTTTGATCTATCAGTGAATGTTTGTTTGTAACCTACCACAGATGCTGCTGTCCCACAGAAACAATAGAAGTGAGGCTGTTCAGTGGCAATGTGTCCTTTGGAACTTCCAAAGGACATCACAGTATTCTCAAGGCTGCATTCAAAAATGGGAATCATTGTTTGTCTTAGCTCCTAGGGGTAAGATCTTGAAGTGGCAAACTTGCTTTGTGGGTTAATAGCAATATTCTGATGTTGTCTGTCTAAACCTCTATTAACATCGATGTAGATCTGTGGGTACTTTAATAAAGGGGATAATTCTGGAGTTATAAGCCCAGAAACTCTGTGAGAGATGAGAGCTGCATAAAATTTCTTTTATCTCAGTATTATTTATTTCTTGAATAGACGGATTATTTTATTTTTAGATAGCATTTGATTATTAGAGGGAGAGAAGGGGAGGTATGACAGTCTTTAAGGAAGGAAAATTGTTGTTCTGAGTTAGAGCAGCTTGTAATACTCTTCAAAAGAGTTTTCTGATCCTAGAAATATGGAAGTTATGTATGTTGTATTTAGGAAGTGTTTTCTGATTCTTAATGAATTACTTATTTTAAATACAGTCGATCATATCTGCAAGATAGAAGCCTAGCATTTGTACCATAAAGGATTACCTACAGCTGACTTACATTTTAATTAAAATTGAATTGCCAGTTTTGTATTGGGAAAAAGATAATTTTCACTAGAACTTCAAGAAATATCAGTTAGCTCAAGTACCAGTTCAGTGTCTTTGGCCTCAAGAGCTGCTTTGAGAATATTCTGCAGTTGGTGTATTTGTTTTCGAAGATGAGATTCTAAGGAGATTATCTTATTTTAATTTCTGCTATCAATCAAAGCTTCCCTGGAATTTATGTTCCTTAAAAATAGTAGCTCCATGGTTTTTAGCATTGAGAATTCCTGTGTCCCTTCTGCTCATGATTCATTTAAGGAAATAGAAGCCTTTGGGACCTCAGGGGAGCAAATGAATGAAATTATTATGGTCTGTCATGACAACTTCTTTACTCTTCTACCCTTTACAAGCTTTGGAGTCTTCCAAGCTGGTAATCTATTAAGAAGCCTCTAAGTAAGCTTTGAATTGAGACTTCAGTGTCTTGGAAGATAACAGTTTTTAAGGAGGTAATAATCTGACTTTCTTCTAAAGCCGTTATGAGTGATGGCCTCAAACTGCATCTTCTGTGTAGCCTGTCTCTCTGGAATTAAATGAGAACTAAAATAATCAATGCCATCTGTTTTTCACAAATTTGAGTTACTTTTTTTTTTGATAGACTAAAGCCATTGGTTCACTTACCTATTTCTTACATATGTTTCTCTCACAACCTTCTTAAATTTGTGTCCAAGTGTGGGAGTGAAAGGTTATGGGTAGCAATTCTGTGAGTTGTAACTCTTACTATACATGCATTGACTAAGTGAATGACACTAAAGACCTAATTTCCTCCATTATGGATGAGGTTTATAGTGCAGTATGGGATTGTATAGCCTAATATAGGAATGTAAAGCAAAATAAATCTGGATTTTTTTGAACTGCAAGGAGCTTTCCTTTCGTCACTTTGTGCTATTTTCATGGAAAGAGATATTTTGTAGGCTAATCGTAAGCATATCTGATGAAAAGAACTGTGCAAGCTCTGTTTCTGCACCTCATAAATGCAAAAATCAGTTGTCTTTGCTTTCTGCAGAGAAGAGGAGAGAAATGAGGATGGAAAAATTTGTAAAAGGGAAAGAATTTTGTCAGCACCTGAAACTTAGCATTGTGATGAAGCCCACTGCAGCTATTCTCATTAGGAAACCCCTGTTATAAACACAGGCCTGTTCTATAAAATATGATCAATATTTAGTCAATGTTTAATCCATTTACTGCTCTGCACTGGTTCCGGCCAGACCTTAAATGAAACAAATTTAAGGATGCTACATTCTTCCAAATTTCATTAGAAGCAGAACGGTGAAATAAGGTAGTGTTTACTGTCAGTCACTCACTGCATTTAAGATGATGATTATTCAAAAGTAGCTCTGTAATCTAACAGCGTGACACTAAGTTCAGTAATTAGAAATAGAAATTTGTCCTATTTTTGTGCTAAAGATCTTGTCAGACAAAAGCTGTTTTTTGTTAGCATGCTCTAAAAATGTGTACAAATTCTGTAGTGTGTACATAATTTTTCTCATTGAAATGTGTGCTGTTAATTTAAATAGCAAAGCCATTGGTGTAGAGTAAATGAGTTGAACAGAAGGTCAGATGGTGAATTAAAAGATACTGATGTTTATGTGACTAGGAGTTCAATTAAAGCAATGAGACTGGTGCACATCAGAGTTTCTTATGACTGGACAATTAATGTTTTCTCATGTAGAATGCACAGACTGACTGTATTCTAGCAGTGCACTCTGCAAGTAGTGCCTGGACAATCAGGGTTGCCTACAGTGGGATATTTATTCTTACTGCATTTCCATGGCCGTGCATGTGGCAGGTTGAGGGACTCTGCCTGTGCTTTAGTAATGGAAAGGATTAAATTTTATATTTTATTTCATAATAAATTTGTATAATATATAAATTTTATTTTTATTTGCAGGTGTAGAAGCCACTTAGGTTGAACAAATAAGGCTATTATAAATACTTGTGTAATTACTCTGCTTAAATGCAAAGGTGTAAGGAACATGATGACTATTTATTTGAGCTGTTGGGGTCAGTTGGTCACTATGGAGCTGACTGACCTCTTTGTATGTTGAGGAGCAAGGCAGCTTTGGGAGGACCACTGACTGTTTGGAGTGCATTCAAAAATCTGGTAGATGAGGTTTAGCCAGATCAGTTTCTCTCGCTTTGTTCCTGCGCACATCCGCAGCTCGGTAGCTGTATAAGCCTGGTTTTTACTGCCCATCCCACTGGGCATCAGACAGAAGAGTGGCTGGGCAAGCGTTGGACTAAATTTTCATTAAAAACCCATTTTCACGCATTCTCCTTGTTGAATATTTTGAGTTTTCTGTAGTTGCCTTCAAAAAGGTGTGGTGTCTGCTCGTAAGCTTCAATTAAGTTAAGCTAATTATCTGCTCCTGGTTTCCGTTGTTCTTAATACTCTGTAATTTTCTAACGAAGCTTTCTTACCCTCGG